GCGGCGCTAAGGCGACAGCCACATTTTGAAAACGGCCCGCCCTGAACCTGTGAAGCTCTAGCAATCTGTTTAAGGCGAGTGTGCGCGGCGCGCAGGCGAGAGCCGCATTCTGAAGACCGTCCGCCATCCATCTGTGAAGCTGTTGCCAACTTTCATGCTTCAGCATCATGAGTAATAAGGAAGTCTCAGGAGAAACGCCCGTCCCGCCCTTGCGACTGGCCTCGGGGTGCGGCAGGGAGGAGTTATATTGCGAAGGCCTCACGGCTGGTGCCGCCGACCCTGAAGGGGGACGTCAACAATGACAGCTGCGGTGGCGGCGGCGACGACGACGACGCTGACGTGGGCCCGAGTTCTAAAGGATGCTTTTTGGGGTCCCTGGGGAAGGCTCTCGTGAGCCTCTGATGTGGAATTCTGGGGTCTCTTGGAAGCCCCTTGGGGGCCTGTTGGGGGCCTTTTCGGGTGTCCTGGGGGCCTCTTGTGGGCTTCTTCGGGCCTCTTGGGGACCCTTTGAGGCCTCCTGGGAGTTTCTTGGGGCCGAGGGCTGGAAATGTCCGTTCGGGTTCCCCGTGAATGCACGTTCGTGGAGCTTTCTTGGGGGCCTCTTGGGCCGTCTTGGAGGCGTTTAGGGCTGGCTTGGGGTTCTCTTTGGATGTTCTGGAACGCTCTTGGAAGCTTCTTGGGCCCTCTTGGGGCGATCTTGAAGGCTTCTTCGGCCGTCTTGGAGCGTCGGGAGGCGGAAAAGACGAGAACGCTCAAATCTGTCAAGCGCCTCTAAGGAAAATGAATGATTATTGCCTCTTTGAGTCCTCTCGGGAGTGCCTTTGGAGGCCTCTTTGGGCGTCTTGGACGTCTCCTTGGCAGTCTGGGAGCGTGAAGGCGTTTTGGGCCGATCGTTTGGCGATTGGGGGCCCTCTTGGACCGTCTCGGGGGCCTCTTGGGGCATTCTTGGCTGGTTTTGGTACCTTTTTTCAGCCCGGGTGCCCAGGTGCCCGGGTGCCCGGGGGCCTGGTAGCCCTATAGCCCTACAGCCTTATATCCGTATAGCCTTATAGCTCTACAGCCCTAGAGCCCCATAACCCCATAGCCTTTTTGCCCCATAGCCCTGAAACCCTAATAGCCCTATAGCCCTAAAGCCCTATAGCCTTCTAGCCGTATAGCCCAATAGCCCTATAGCCCTATAGCCCTATAGTCCTACAGTCCTATAGCCCTACACCCCTATAGCCCTATAGCCTACAGCCCTATAGCCCTGTAGCCCTATAGCCCTATAGCCCTAAAGCCTTATAGCCCTATAGCCCCATAGCCTTAGAGCCCTATAGCCCTATAGCCCTGTAGCCCCATAGCCCTATAGCCCCACACAAAAATCAGATTGATATTTTTTCTCTGGTATCATTTAAGGAGAACACCCGGTAGGAGCAACGGCGGCACCGCTTGAGAAGGCGGCGGCCCTGGTCCGCAGCAGGCCCGAGGCGAGGCTCGCCTCTCGAGCCCTCAGCGTCAGGTTCCTACATGCCGCCACGCTGGTTCCGGGCAGGCTGTGCTGTCCGGCGGAAGGGGACGAGGAGGGGAGAAGCAGGCAGACGACGACGAACGCCCAGGCGGGAGGCCAGGGCCGGCGGGGCGGGCGGGCAGGCAGAAGACGGGCCAGGCGGAGACAGCAGGCAGGGAGCAGGAGGAAAGGAAAGGGAGGGAAGCAACGAGCAGAAGCGAAGGGAGGGGGAGGAGGGGGAGGAGGACAAGGAGGACAGAAAGCAGCGGCCGCAAGCAGACAGGCCGGGCCAGGGGCCGGGAGAGAAGAGCCGCCCGCGACGAGGCTGCGGACCCTACGGCGGCGACCTGGGCGGGGTGGCCGCCCGAACCCAGCGCGATGCGGCTTGGTGGGGATTGCCCTCTGCGGGATCCATCCACCGCCCCGCCGGGGAAAGGCCGGGCGGCGCGTGGGAGGGGTCGCCGGCGCGACGTTGGCGAAAGGGCGAGGGGGGCGCCCGCGCTGCCCAGCAAGGGCGGGGGGGGGGGGGGCGGGGGGCGCTAGGCAGCGCAGGGGGCACCTCGCACGGCGTCTGCCGTGGAGGCCGCCGTGGCCGCGGCCAGGCGGGCCGCTGCCACCCCCGCCCCTCCAGACAGGGTCTGAAGGCGCCGCAACCAGTGCGGCGTCTTCCCCCGTGGCGTCAGCCACCCGCTTGGCCAGGGCCCCGAAGGCCCTGCGTGCCTCGCGGCCCCACCCGCCGCCGTGGGCTTCCACCGCCATGGGGAGGAAAGTGAAGCCCTGTGCCGCGCAGAGCCGCGCGGTGTCCTGGTGCTGCCTTTTGAACTCCTCGTACCGCTCCGTCGCTGCGCTTGACGAAGCGGCCGACGCGGCGAGGAGATCGGCTCGCAACCCTGACGTGGCGGCAAAGTCCCAGGCGGCCGCCGTGCCGTTGCGCCACCGCGGCAGGTAGACGTCGGCAGGGCGGCGGCCGTTGTCGTCCACCTGGGACCCGCCCTGCTCGCCCCCGGGGGTGGCCTCCCCGGCGGGGCGCGCGGGTAGCAGCCCCGGGCGCTCCAACTCCGCCCCGGCGTGGCCGGCGGCCAGGGCGTCGAAGAAGGCCTGGTTGCGCAGGGCGTTGTGGCGTTTGGTCCGGTCGTCGCGGCAGGCGCAGACCAGGGCGTGGTCGCAGAAAACGTCCATCACCTCGCCACAGGCTGGGCAGAAGCACTCCTCCTGCAGGAGCTGGACTCGCAGCCGCCTCTGCAGGCCGACCTGCATGAGGCCGCGCGGGAAGGCGGTGCCGGTGGCCTCGCAGGGCGGCGCCTGGAGCCACGCGGCCGCGCCTGGGGCTTGCACCAGAGAGAGGTGCGCCTTGCCGGCCAGGGTGGAGCCCGCCAGAAGTCCGTCGAGCGAGGCGCTGTCCACCGCGTCGGAGAGGGCCTTCTGGTTGCCGTGCTGCGCGTGGTCGAACACCACCCGGTCGGCGTCCCGCACGACTGCGTTGTGGGCCTGCACCGCAGCCGCCAGGCTACCTCCGTCGCGGTCGGGGTTGTTGGAGTAGCCGGGGTAGAGCTGCCGACAGAGGTCGGTGCTCCTCGCTCTGGAAGCGATTTAGGCGGCGGCGGCGTGCTTCGCGGCAGAGCGCAGGCCGAGTCCTCCCTTCCTGAGCTTTAGCTGAGCCTGCTGCCAAGAAGCGTCGGAGGGCGAGCAGCCGCTCAGTTGCTCAAGGCAGGCCCGGACAGCGTCGTCCATGGCCAGCAGGGAGGCGGCGTGCGCGGTGGGCGGCACCACGCGCGCGGAGTAGCCCAGCTTGCAGAAGGAGGCGCACTGGCGCAGGAGGTGCAGCGCGACCTGCGCGTTTTCGAGCTCCCCCAGAGCTTCCAGCAAGTCGGTGGCGCTCGCGACCCGCTGCTTGGTGTGCTCCGCGCAGAAGTCCGCGTCTCCCACTGGCGCGCCGAGCAGCTCGAAGCTGCGATCGGTGCGGGGGCGGAAGCCCGGCGGGAAGCCGTCCAGAGACACGTCGGAGGCGTCTCCGCCAGTGGGGACCACCTCGCACTTGCCAGGGCCGGTGCTCAGCTGGAGGCCCGCCGCGGCAAGGCTGGCCACGAGCAAGTGGAGGAGGCGCGCGACGGCCGGCGCGTCGCCCGCGAGGCAGCCGTCGTCCAAGTAGAAGAAACTCAAGTCGACGGCGCCGTCGGCGCCGTGGCGCGGCGCGCGAAGGGCGGCCTCGGCGGCGCGCTGTAGTGCTAGGGAGAACAGTAGGGGCCCCAGGGGGTCGCCCTGCTGCACCTCGCACTCGGAGCGGACTGTCTGTTTGCCCAGGAAGAGAGTTGACGGGCGGGAGTAGCACCAGTCGTCCCAGGGTGCCAGCCCGGGAAACTCTTCGTGGACCGCGCGGAGCAGAGCCTGCCTGTCCAGGGTGTTGAAGGCGTTAGACAAGTCCAGCTTCACAAACACCTTTCCCCGGTCCCCGAGGTGGCGGGCCCACCACTGGCGCGCGACGTGCACCGCCGCCTCGGTGCCGCCAGGGACCGCGACGCCGATCTGGAGGGGAGCCAGTCGGTCGCGCGCGGCGTCGGCAACCTCGTGGCAGAGGCACTTGCCGACGAGGCGCCGGGGCACTTCCCCGACGGCAACAGGGCGCAGGCCTCCGTCCTTCTTCGGCAGGGCCACGAGAGAGGCGCCCGCGAAGTACTCGGACACGGTCGGCGGGGCCTGCCCCCTGGCGCAGAGGTTGACAAGGTTCCGGAGCTGGTCGGTGACCTCGTCCCTGTGGGCCGCGTTGAGCAGTGCGTCTTTGAGGTGTTGGGGTCGGAGGCCCGTTGGCCCGGCGGCCGAGCCCCGGGGGAAGGCCCGCACCTCCCTACGGACCGCGTCCCCGTCCATCTGCAGGGCAGCAGCCGCGTGGACAGCCGGAAGGCGTATCTGACTCCACCCAGGACCCCTAGGGGGGATGCGTATCTGACTCCACCCAGGACCCTCCTCGGGACCCCCCCGATGCGGGAGGGGTCAAAGGGAAGTGGCTTCCTTTCGGTTCGATGCGACATTGCGAGATTTTCTCCCGCTCGCAGGCTTGATGAGGAGTGCGACGCAGACGACGACTGACGGACACGACGACTCGAACAGACAAACCCCTCGCACACGACGAAAGGGTTGGCGGATTTACATGGAAAAGGAATTGACGAGGAGGAGCAGGAGCAGCAGCAGGAGCATGAGGAGGAGGAGGAGGAGGAGGAGGAGGAGGAGGAGGAGGAGGAGAAGGAAGAGGAGGAAAAGGAGGAGGAGGAGGAGGAGGAGGAGGAGGAGGAGGAGGAGGAGGAGGAGAAGGCTGAGGAGGAGATGCGGAGGATGAGGACGAGGAGGACGAAGAGGTGGAGGAATTGGGAGGAGGGGGTGGAGACCTGCCGGCATTGCGGCAGCGGCCAGACTCAGGGAGGATGAGCATGCGCACGCGCTCGCTCACCGGCGCCGAGTGCTGCAGGAGGAGGAGGAGGAGGCGGAGGAGGAGGAGGAGGCGGAGGAGGAGGAAGAGGAGACAGGCAGGCAAGCGCGCAGCGCAGCGCACGGGGATGGCCCGCGGCCGCGCAGAAGTTCAGGACGAGGACCGCGGCCGCAGGCGGCACCACCAGAGAGGCGATCCGGCCCCAGGAGGAAAACGGGCCCTCCGATCGCCCCCTCCGCCCCATGCTCGTCCCGCTTCCCATCGCCGGCAGCACCGTCTGGCTCTCGTCTGGAGTGGGGCCGTGATGGCTCGAGCTCAGGCCAGCTGGCCTGTCAGGGCCCCGAGCGAGGCGCGGCGGAGCGCATCGAGCCCGAGGCCACGCTCTGGGCCGGCGCGGCGCTGGCCGCGGGCTGCGGCGAGTGTGCGCCCGAAGTGCGCCTGCGCTGCCCGCCTGCGCCTGCGGGCCGGGGCATCGGCCAGCGCGCCCGCCTCGATCCTCCTCCTCCTCCTCCTCCTCCTCCTCGTCCTCCTCCTCCTCGTCCTCCTCCTCCTCGTGAGCCGTCTCGAGACCGTCTCGGGGGCCTCCTTTGAGCCATCTTGGGCCATGCTGGGCCGTGCTGGCGTTATCTTGGCAGTCTCGGAAGTCAGAGTGGATACCCTTCCGCCAGACTGGGCACCCACTTCGGCGCGTTGGAGCGGATTCGCGCTCCACTCAACGGTCTGCACGCCCTGGCTGCTGCGCGGCCAAATGGCGCGCCTGGCGCTCAGTCGACGAGCCCGTCGTCGCTGTCGTGTACGGCGCGTTGCCGGGTAGCGAGTGCTCTTGGCCGCCCCGCCCGCGGCAGATCGCGACCCATTGGTTTCAGTCACCGCCCGTTAGCGACGCGGTGGCTGCCCGCCTTCGGCCGGCTCGTTTTCAGCAGCCGAAGTCGTCTGCGTCGCATGCCCGCGCCTGTCGCATTCTCTCGCGTCCCCCTCTGCCAATTCGGCGCCCTCTCGCGGCGGCCGACGAAAACGGCGGGGTCGGAAGGTCCTGCCGCGCCCTGCTCTCTCGGAGTTGTGCTGCGCGAGGTGCCGTGCGCTCCGATGGTAGGCCCTCTCAGTAACCCCCTGCCCCGGATCAAAAAGTACCCCCCCTTAACCCCCTGAATATTTAGATCCCCGTGTCAATAGGTTTTGATTGTGGAGAGGGGCGGCGAGGCCGTTTTTTCAAATCCCTGGGGGAAGTTGCGAATCGAAGTTGCTATCATCTTGTGTTGATTAGAAACTTCATCGAAAACGTTGAGAATGGCAATGATGGTCTCACCATTTCAGCTTTCGCAATCACGAGCGTGTGGCAGGGCTATGGGATTCTCACCATTTCAGTTTTCCCAAGTCACGAACGTGCGGCCGTTCCCGAGTCAGGTGTGCACGAGCGCCCAGACTCGAGATCTGTCGAGTCAGCCTTGTGCCAAGATCTACAAGGTCAGTCTACACGAGCGCCCAGGATCATCATCATCATAATCATCATCATCATCATCATCATCATCATCATCATCAGCATCAGCATCAGCATCAGCATCATCATCATCATCATCATCCGCATCATCTGCCGGGAAAATCGTTGATTATCCCCGCCATACTTCGAACTTCAATATCCCCCGGGGAGTTTCATCGGGGGCGCAGGGTTATCGTTTAACCGATCCCCATCCCCATCTCCATCCCCATCCCCTTCGAGACCCCCACCACAGTACCACCCCAGTTGGGGATACACCCTTCGAAATCTGAAGGGAACGACTTATATCACCATCTGGGGGGGTAGATCGGCCAGTGGGGCCCAGGCCACGCCGCTGGGGATGGTGATCGTTTAAACGATACTCACCCCCTCCTTCTCCTGTTGGTCATTCGTCGTGCGGGTTTGCCTTGGCACCCGCCCGCCGTGAACTTGTGTGGGTCCCTCGCTTCGTCCCTCGAGATTCGCTTCCTGGGGTCCAGGGAGAGCCTGTGCGCTGGGTGCGGTAGGCTGCTCCGAGGCGACTCGTAGCCTCCCTGTTTTTTGGTTGTGGGTCGTGTTGTTTTGCCCGACGATGCGACGAACGCGGTCCATCTCAGGATCATCCAGTCATCCTCGGGTCCTTCGATCATGGATGCGGGCTAAGGCTGATCCTCTGGGCCCAAGCTCCCGTCCGACCCGCCCACCCTTCACCTCAGGACGGGCTCATCAAAGGCAGGCAAGGCTTCGCGCTCTTTCCTGCATGCACGCTGTGTGCGCTCGCTGTCGATCGCTGACATGAAGGCACATCATCTTGGCGCTGCTTGATCGGGCCGCGCGTTGGCCACGTCCAGCCAGCTCCCTCTCGAGAAGCCGCCTTCTGCTCCTCTCCAGCCCCTTGCTGATCCCCATCGCCCTTCCCCGCTCTTTGCCCCCTCCTGCCTTCTCAACGCGCACCCTCGTCGTCCTCCTCCTCGTGCTCCTCCTCCTCCTCCTCCTCCCTCCCTGCCTCTCTCCCTCCCTCCCTCCCTCCCTCCTTGTCCTCCTCCACCTCCTCCTCCTCCTCCTCCGCCTCCTCCTCCACCTCCTTCTTCGCCTCCTCCTCCTCCTCCTCCTCCTCCCTCCCTCCTCCCTTATCCCTCCACCTCCTCTCTCCCTTCTCCCTCCTCCCTCCCATGCGGTTGCATCAGACCCTGAATATCTGGTTCTGCGCGTGCTGAGGTATGTATGGGGATAAGCAGCTTTTGGGCCTGGGGAAGGGGTGCACGAATCAGGTCACCCCCACCCGTGCCGAGTATTTGAATCGTCTTGAGCGGGGGCTATTCCCTAAGGTCTTTAGTAAGGCCGAGCTCATGCGTAAGGCTGGGGCCCATAAGGGGTCCCCATGAGAGATGCATTGACTTCGTCCTGGAACTCCTGAACTCCTGAACTCCTGAACTCCTGAACTCCTCCTCCTCCTCCTCCTCCTCCTCCTCCTCCTCCTCCTCCCCGCCCCCCCCCCACTCCCGCGGTGGACCTCGCCGCCTGGAGAGGAGCCCGCGCCGCGCGACCGCGCCGCGGTCGGCCCCGCAGTCAGGCAGCGCCCCGACGCGCCGCCTCGACCGCCCGATCGAGTCCTCCATCGAATCTCCGACGCGGAGGAGGAGGAGGGCGTCACATGTGACGCCTCGTGCCCCCAAGCTTGAGAGAGCATGATGAGAACAAAGATGACGAGGAGGAGGAGGAGGAGGAGGAGGAGGAGGAGGAGGCGGAGGAGGAGGAGAAGGAGGAGGAGGAGGAGGGAGGGAGGAGGAGGCCCGACGCGTTGCCTCGTCCGTCCGATCGAGTCCTCATCGAATCCCCTCTCCTGGCATCGCCCGGACGTGTGCATTTTCTTCCCAACCCTCCTCGCACTGTGACAAAAATCACGACGGGTGTTTGTTCGCTATTTTCGGCCTTTGGGGGCCCTCCTGGGCGTCGGGACCGTCAAATAACGACCCAGGATGAAAAACCTGTCCCAGGGAATGAGTCGAGACTTCTGGTGACCGCGTACTGAAAAAAGCACGACGTCGGATCTCTGGGTCTCTTGGCATCGCTCGGACGTGTGCACGTTCTTCCTGGCGAGGATCAGCGGGGGGGCATCCTGGCTCCTCGTGCGAAGCACGAGCGCTCCTGAGCGCGCGATGCAGGAGAAGGCACGGGACATGGACGTCCGAGTGATGGCGAGCTCTCTCTCTCTCTCTCTCTCTCTCTCCTTCCTCTTCGAGGCCGTCTCGGCAGCCACCCCCGCGCCCCGCGCGCGCCCGCGCTCGCCCGTGGGGCACTCGCGCCCGCGCGCGCGATGGGGACGGCCCCTGGCAGTGGAGGCTGTGCGGCCGCCGCCGCTGCGGTGGCCCGCCGCGGGCCCCATTCCCCGCTGCCGCTCTTCCCCCGCCTCTGTCTCTCCCCCCTGCCTCTCTCTTTCTCTTTCTTCGTCCCGCTCTCCCCCTTCTTGTCCCGCTCCCTCTCTCCCTCTCTCCCTCTCTCCCTCTCTCCCTCTCCCTCTCTCCTTGTTCTGTCTCCCTCTCTCTGATCTGGTACGGATTTACCATGTCCAGCTGTCTGCGGCAAGTCCTGCCACCGTGCCGGCCCAGCATTCTGGTTGACGATTGGTAAAGGGGGTCACAGGAGGGCGTCACATGTGACGCCTCGTGCCCCCAAGCTTGAGAGAGCATGATGAGAACAACTATGATGATGATGATGATGATGATGATGATGATGGTGATGGTGATGATGATGATGATGATGATGATGATGATGATGATGATGATGATGATGATGATGATGATGATGATGATGATGCTGTCGCTGATGATGATGGTGGTGATGATGATGAGGATGAGGATGAGGATGAGGGTGAGGATGATGATGATGATGATGATGAGGAGGAGGAGGAGGAGGAGGAGGAGGAGGGCCGTTACATGCATCACCTTTCGTCTTCATCTCTTGAGGAGCTCATGTGCTCATTTGGGCCGTCTTGGGGCTGTCTCGGGCTCCTGTGGGGCAGTCTTGGGGGTCAATTGGGGCAGTCTTGGGGTCGTCTTGGGTCTTGGACCTTGGACCGTATTAGAGCTCTTGCCAGGCGTTGTCTTATAAGCCTTGGTGTCGGCTTCACGTAAGAGTGACCTTCCGCCGTAGTGACCTTGGTGCGGGCTCATTGGGGCTCCCCCGATCGTTGAGCGCGATGCGATAGTGGCTGCCTGCGCGCTTGGAGTTGGCCACCCTGCGTCTCCTTGATCCGCGCACTGGAGGTCACTCTGGCCTAGGGTCACTCTTGCGTGTAGCCGGGGACGTTCGACGTTTGCGTTTGAGCTGTTCCTCCTCGGCTGGGCCGCCTGGGGCTCTTCGAGAGAGCAGACGGAGGCAGATCACGGGGGGGTGATGGAATCTCCCGATCGACGCCATTGGGGGCTGCGGGCCAGAAAAAAGTTGCCCGCACGCCTTCTGCGCCCGTTCGAGCGCATCGAAATCCAATTGGGGGTGCGGGCCGAAAAAACATTGCTCGCAGCACTCCGCGCCCATTCGAGAGAACTGCCATTCATTGGAGGTTGCGGCCGGCAAACATTTCCGCACGTCCTCCGCGCTTGTTCGAGTGAATCTGAATTCATTCGGGGTGCGGGCCGGAAAAAAAGTGCCCACAGCCCCCCAGGGTTGCGGGCCGAAAAACATTGCCCGCACGCCCCCCGCGCCCATTCGAGTGAATCTGAATTCGTTGGGGTGTGTGTGTGTGTGTGTGTACCGAAAAAATGCCCGCATGGCCACCGCGCCCGTCGGACTGAATCTGAATCCATTGGGGGTTCAGGCCGGAAACAAACTG